AAGAATTAAGCAAGAATTATGAATGAGAAAATACAAAGAATGAGGTACAACACATGCACGACATGCTAACCTGTCTCATAGGTACACACGTAAAAGGTTGATACACGTATAAGTTAAATCTGTGACTTTCTGCGATATTAAAATGATAGTTAACTGTTTCTGACGATTTTTTTCGCTATGCTAGTCATTACAAAAACGTCAAAGTCATTAAATGTATTTTTGATATATATATAGAACTATATCATTTATGCACAAACGAATTAACCGTTTAAAAAAAAAGATAATGGGTTTCTATGGAAACGTTTAATATGGAGACGCACTTTTCGAAAAAATATATATAAAAACGGATGCATAAATGAAAACAAACTTAATGAATTGTATCAGCTCTATATATTTTATTAAAATGAAACCACAATTTAATAATTCAAAATTGTACTTCAGTAGAAAAGGTTAAATTATGGTATTCTGTCTACAAATAAAAAACTAAGCCAGCAAATATAGTTAAAAAATAAAATACGACTTTATATTTCTCCTCAACAGAGTTTAGTTTTCCTCAAAAAACAGGTAAAAATCAATGGGTCATATTAAGACAATAAATGTAATCTGAGCAATGAGTGTTTTATGTTTATTTCAAATTTCAACATCACGTTACAAGCATTGGACTGTTGTTGTTGGACAACAGACCTTCAACAAGTATCAGGCATTCAAAGAGGTAGCAGTTTCTTATTTTATTCACATATTTTTGCGAGAACTAACAACCGTCAACTATTCAATATTTGTCAAGTAATATTATCTGTGTACTTCTAAAAATATTGTATCTGTGTACACTATGTTTATATGGAAATAACATAGATTTTAAATGTTTATTTCTTAAGGTTTTCTTTTACCATTTATTAATTATAAGTTCAAAGTTACTATTACAATAGTCCAAAGAAAATATTGTAAATATATAAATATTATTGAAGGTTTCTTAACAAAAATATTGAAATGTCACGGACAGTTTGCACAACACTAATTAACATTACGCACCACATGTCGCACTTCACTACACCGAGACTACACCTTATACTATACAACATCCATCAAATGTATGATAAAAAAAATTGAGAAACCCGTTCAATATAACGTGAACCATCATGTTTAACTAAAAAAAATATATAATAATATTAAATTTTTATTATTTAATATTTTGTTCGGAAATGAATATTTGATAAAAAAGAAAAATAAATTATAGTTTTGATTATAACTATATCCAGAACTATACAACGTTACGACTTCAGCGACCGCTTTGAAAACAGCATCCATTCAAAAACAATGGCACTACTTTCAATTTAAATATAAGCCTAACTATTATGTGAGATATCTTATATAGTTTATAATAATTTATTATTACAAATTCTTGGACATATGGAATTATTGCTTTGACGTGACCACTCCGCAATGTTGGCTACTTATCGTTGAAACGTTTCATTCAAACTATAAGTAAAAATCGATAGTCCTCTAAAACTTAGTATAAAGTATGTCTAGTATATCAAGTATGTCCAGTATCAAAATTATATTAATCGGCGTCGCGACAAATGTAGAGTGAACAATAAATCTGACCATGCAAATTTTTATAAGCAACAAAATCTTCATACAAGTAGATTATTTATTAAGTATGTTTTGAAAATTGAAAAAAAAACTCTGTAGACAAAATAATTTGAAGAACTGCATATTCAAAAAAAAAATGGCGTCGAACGTCCAACTAACAAACAAAGATACCGGACGAAACAATTATGTGTAAAAGCAAAAAAGAAAAGTGAGATTTTGATATACAAATTTCATACTAAGCCGACTCTACCTTAGAAGCGAAAAGTGCAAATACTTAATAACTATGTAACGTTAATCTCCCTAAACGCAGTCAGTTCGAATTCATCTAAAAAAGTACAAATAATAAATAACTAGCAAGTAATACATACTTACAGACGAATAATTCTATTCTATAGTTATTTGTATATTGTTATAAAACGAATACAGGTACTGCTTATGTGTAAGCGTATCCGATATACATTAGACTAAGCTAGGATTGGCGAACCTTTTGCTGAAGTATCAAATATATTTATATTTTATGGGTTTTCTTTCTTGTTTCTTTCATATGTATTAAATTAATACTGCAGTTAAACTTTTAATAAGATCTAGATTAAATAAATATGATTTTACTTTTAAGCTTTTTTAGATTGTAAAGGGTTCATATTATGATTTAAAAATCTATGTTTACAATAAGAATATTTAAAAACATTAAAACGTCCTACAAAACGTTGTACTACAAAAGCTCACCAATGCCGGATATATGTATGTGGAATTTGTTTAATTTTTGGGTTTTTATTGAACTTTTATAATTGAATTATTTGATTATATGTAACTCTCAAAAATCATTAATTACTTCTGAATCTTTAATATTCACTACTTCATATATACGTCAGCTTATGACATTTAGAATCTTATTAACATAAAGCTTAACTTTTTTTAAATATTTGGTATAATAATATTGTTAGAATTGTGCCTAATAATGGTTCGCCATCCCTAAAGACTACACAATGAGTACTGAGGCGGATGGTATTGCGTCAATGTCTTGGGAAAATGCTACGTACAGATACCAACATAAATTTTAATAATATTATAATGGCTATATTTATATTTTCTATGAGAAATGCTGGCAAAAAATTGGATAAAAAAAGATTGTATTGAAAAATTAAAATTTTGTTGGCATCTACACTAGCAATTATTACTTCAAATCTACATTATTATTGACCTCAAACTCCTGATATCTGTTAAAAATTTAATTTGAAACGTTAAATTCTTAGAAGATAGAAATAAAACAGGCGTACGCTTTAAACAAAAAATAATCAAGTTAATGTTGCCAAAATAAAAAAAAAACACTATTGAATTATGTATCTGGGTAAAATAGAATAGACTGGCAACTACGTTAAAAATACCTTCCTTACGATATAAAACTCCTACAAATTGGTGGTTTAGAGAATCGTGGTTTTTATGCAAACGAATAAAAAAAGTCGATACATCTTATATCTACCCACGTTTAGTTCCCTTATAAATTATAGAATACCAATTAAATTTTAATACTACCGAAATCAATGCAGACTCACTTCGAATCACAAGAATTATTATATAGGAACATAAACATTGTTACAAAAATATGTTTTTTCTTCATTTGGTTCTATTTAACACTATTAAATGTATAGTTGTGTTAGTCTACGCGTAAATACTATATGAAAGGAAATGGTTATAAATAAAATGGGTTTTTAAATTAATGGAAATATTTTGATACAATATAAATCTCAACTGATTGATTTTTGTCATAACTTTAAAATAAATCGACATTTTATAAAACTATGCCAGTTTTATTTTGGCGTTCCAAACAAAAGTGACCCAACTCAAATTGCAAATGATGACAAAAATACAAAAAAAATAGTTGAAAATAACAATTACTAATTGCAATTAATTTGAAGAATTTTCAGTTGCAAAATTACATGATTCATTAGGTTTACATCATATTATTATAAAGTTATGACACCATCAACAAACGCATTAGACATTCGTTCCTCACACAAATGTATGTAAAAATGAAATTACAAAAATATAAAAGAACATTTGACAGTTAAATGTTTAGGGCTATGTCTAATTATTGTTTTATACATGGAATATAACACCATCATCCAATTATAGAACAGTCTAAAGCAAAACCTCATAGCTTTCCCCATGAACTCATCACAGAAAAACGACACCGTGACACAAACAACTATTTATACATTAAGATGTCTAAATATTTAAAACATTTTTGATTAATTTAAAAAAAAAATATTAAATATTTTTTTTATTTAATAAATTATTTTTGATTTTCATAATAATTCATTTGCAAATACTTTTTTTAAAATAAGCCTTTACAGTCGAAATTTAAGAAAAAAAATCAAATCTTAGAGAACTTAATGTATAAACACGCCTACATTCTACATAACAATTTCTTTTATCTACCAACAATAAGTGAGAACCGACAAATTTTTAGCAAGTTCAAATATAGGAGTCAAAATTTGACTCATTAACTCGTGTGGCATAATTATTTCTGTCCAGCCAATTAACTCGTTAATGGATTAGTTTAAGTACCCTTTTAAAAAAAAGACTAATCGAATATTATAAATATTTAATAAATATTAATAATATTAATACTGAAAGAGTCACACCACAATTTCCTACATACAATTTAAATGCCAATTTTATATTATAATCTATACCAATATTATAAAGAGGCAGAGTTTGTTTGTTTGTTTGTTTGAACGCGCTAATCTCAGGAACTACTAATGCAATTTGAAAAATTCTTTTTGTATTAGATAGCCCGTTTATTGAGGAAGGCTATAGGCTGTATATCATCACATTACTACCCAAGGGATCGGAGCTGTAATTATAAATGTCAACAAATCGGGCAGACTTCCATACATTATTGTAAAATTGATGCTTATATCGGAAGTTTGAACGCAGGCAAAGCCACGAGTACTGCTAGTTGATAATAAAACTATTACTAAATTAAATGTTTTTTTATATACCACTGGATAAAACCTGTACATATTTTGTTTGTCACTTAGCTTAATAAAAGAAACTATTAACGTATAAGAAAATAATTTAAATTTTATATTGACTTTATAATTAAACAAGTAGAATAAAATAAAAAATATATATACAAGTTTAAGATAAATAGAAAACAAAAATCCTCTGTCCATTTAAACTCCGTTTCAAATCATAAGGTAAAATTTTGTTGTTTTTTAATATTTACTCGTATTTTTATTTATCGGAACTCCCTTATCGTGCACAAATCGTTTTTCGTCCTACATTACATTTCACTAAACACGCACACACGAACTTAAAGCATGAAACAACTTGAGACTACTGATAACCAAATTTGTTCCTTAACGTATAGTACATAAGGGCTATTTTTACTTATTACTATGTTATGACGGCGCGCTCGAAGACTCCATACTGACCGCCGGTGCCATCTGAAATAAGCACACAATTAAAAAACGGCTAAAATAATACTAAATAAACTAAAATAAAGGGTAAAGTTCCTATGATGTCATGACTCAGTGCGGCCATTTAAGAAATCTATTTTCAGGTCTGGACTTCTTGGAAAAAAACTTATTTCAGACAGATAGATAGTTAAAATCATTTTTGGAATTATATCGCTTCTTTACCTGCTAAGAACAACATTGAACTTAGTATTGTAGCAATTTTGAAGAAGAGCTTAAAATATATGAGGAAATTAAATTCCTTTTTCAAATTATCTCAACACTGAGTTACAACGTTGATCGTTGCGAGTGGCGATTATCTTTATATATATAATTCTTCTGTGAGTGTGTATGTCACTGAACTTCTCTCAAACGACTGGACCGATTTTGATGAAATTTTTTGTGTGTGTTCAAGGGGATCTGGGAATGGTTTAGATTCACAATTTGAATAATAATTTTCATCAAAAAAATTATTAAAAAAAGTTTGAAATTTTCAAATTAAAGACGTGTAGACATGACAACGTCTGTCGGGTCCGCTAGTTTCGATATAAATAGCAAATCGTTTTACCTTTTTTAGTATTATATTTTTGAAGGTAGTTAGCATATGGATGTGTAAATAATTAATATAATAATATTGTTTATAGAGTATACTTTACTCACGAAAAAATAGAAAAAAACTGCGCAGTGCCAAATAGTTATCAAAACAAAAAGTGGTAAATCTATGCCAAGTGATAAAGACCAGGTACAATTATGTCTATTCATTAGAACAAAATATAATAAATACTGTGTGTGAGTGAGAGAGAAAAAGAGAGAGATATCAAATATTGAAAAATGACTAATATATCACAAAAAGAAGAATCATATCTCAAAACTGGAATCGCATGAGATATTTATACATATACAATATACATATATTTGTAATCTACATATTGATTATATATTTAAGTTTAGTAAAGCTACATATTTTTCATCTCTAGCCGCAATATCAAGACCGGGTCAAATCTGCTCAATCCCTTTATAATAATTGATAAAAAGCTTTAGATAAACTGTAATTTTATAGAATCAAAAAATGTTTTATTACTAGATAACAATATCTACGCTACAAAGCGTTCCACTATCTATTTTCTGTCTATCTCTTCAGGACAATTTCATTATAATTTACTCAATTATTAAATATCAAATTATTGTACTATCGTAAAAAAAGTGTGTGTTCGTACTTATGTACGCACGTAAGAAGTTATACAACAAAAATAGCTAAAGATTTCATCCCGTATGTGCCAACTCTCTTTTTGTAAAAGGAATGCAGCTTTCATCATGTCGCTTTTGGTAATACAGCCTGTACCCCGTCGTAGTAGGAAGGCCTGTGACCAGCAGAGGATCGTTAAAAAGGGCTCAATAAGATACATAAAAATAAATAAAAAAAAAACAATAAAAACACCTATAAACTAAAAATACATGTAAATCTAAGAAAAGTATTAAACCTCACCTTGTTCCTGAGCGGCACGTGAGCGAACACGTCGGTGATGTCGCGCTCGTCCAGCACTGCCTCTAACGCCGCCGCCAACTCCGAGCTCTCGCCGAACGGCGCTCCGCTCTCCGCTGATCAGTACAAGGGATATAAATAAATATATTGGGACATTAACACACATCACCATCTATACTGTATTCGCCGAATGAACCAAACACTGAGATTAGTTGGAACTATTAGTTGCAGATAAGACGCTTAGGCCGCGATTACAATGCAAGACATAATTAGTCCGTCCGCGTCGTTGCATTCCGTACCGTTCAGACATCTCTCGTGTAGTTACCTGATTTATTATCAATGTAAAAAACTAATATTCATTTGGACAGAGACGGTATCAAAAGCTTTTTTTCAGATCAAGTGATACAGTTAGAAAAGGTTTACCGTTATCTAATTGTTTTGATACAGTTTTAGTTAGTGCAGTAATTGCGTCCTCGGTTAAAATACCCTGACGAAATCCATATTGTGATTTTGAAAAGATATTATAATCTTTAAGGTATGTTTAAAAGCCTAATATTAATAAGTTTTTCTATTATTTTGTATATTGAGGGTAATACTAAAATAGGTCTATAATTTGTTATGTCCTCTCTGTCTCCACCTAAGAATTTGGTTTTTGGTCATCTTAGCGCGGGCGGAGCCGCGAGCAATGCTAGTACAAAATAAATACAAACCTTGGTTGAAGAACTCCGTGAACGCCTCGTCCGGAATTTGACTGAGAACCGACGGATCCAAGATGTCGTCCGGTGGGACTTGACCCACTTCTGTTGCAAAAAAAATAATGAAATACTAATTTAGAAGATTTTTATATCGATATTTATATTAAAATACTTAATTATTAGTTACGATTAATATCGTTTCTTTGTTTGTATCGAATAGGCTCCAAACTACTGAATCGATTTAGATGAAATTTGGTAAGAAGATAGTTTTAGACCCTGGGAAAGACATAGGATAGTTTATATCCCTTAAGGGGGTGAAAATGGGAGTGAACGTTTGTATGTGGAAGCAACCTAGGAACGAATCCGAGCGAAACGAGGTCGAGTCGCTAGTAATATATAAAGAGTATATCCTTACCAAGCTCGTGAGAGTTATTCGTCATGTATTCATTCTCGCTCAAGCCTCCCATCGCCGTATCTTCGGAACTATCATAAGTGGAAGAATTCGAACACACGTTGATTTCTGCAAATAATATAGATTAATTAATTGACATCGTAAAAAGTATTTGCCAAAAACTGAACTAAAAACTAATGTTTCACTTTTTTATTTGTAAATTACTTTTGCAAGCAAAATATCATTATTTAGAATTATATCGAATAAAAATTCACTTCAATTTAGTCTTGCTACCAGAGATCTACAAAATCGCTATAAAAATTGATATTTGAAAATCTTAGCATGTGCATTTCCGTCAAAATCAATGGTGGATCATCTATCGAGATGAGGTATGAAAATGTTTATTTCCCAAAAAAAAAAACAATATTCACTTAACGATATTTTCGTCTGATATTTTCATGTGCAAATCATTTCCAACATAATTAATTACCACTTGTCTTAACGGTGAAGGAAAACATCGTGAGGAAACCTGCATGTCTGATAGAACCTAGCAAGTTTTCAAAAGACATGTGAAGTCCGCACTATTATTATATATTTATATAATTTATATATATATTATATTATTAGTACTACTACGAATCCGCACTTGGCCAGCGTGGTGGACTATGGCCTGGTCCCCCTCGAACTGAAGGGAGGCCCGTGCCCAGCAAGGGGACGTTGAAAAGGGCTGAATACATATATTCATATTGAATAAAAATTAAATATAGTCTCACGGCCAGATATCTACAAAATCGATATAAAAATTTAATTAGACGATAATACTTTCTTAGATTTACGCGAATGACATTATTAAATAAAACATCTTTTCGGATTATTTCGCGGATTTATTTTGATTTTTGGTTCCCGACGTTTCGAATGCTTTACAGCATCCATGGTCACGGGAGAGACTGAGGTGTTACATGTCTTAAAGATATAGTTGTTACAGACAGCCTACCCACAATTAACAAAATGAAAATTGCACCAATTACATTACAATATTTTTAACTTTAAACATTATTATAATTTTAATTATAATTGAATATGGAAAATTATTTATTTCATTTTTGCTATTATTTTTATAATTATTACAATTTTAAAAATATTAATTAGTAATCTATATTTAGTGTTGCCATTATTATATTTATAACCATAAATAAAAATATAAAAATATAGTATTAATTATTAATGCCATATAATTGTTCTATGTGTAATTTAAAAAAAAAAGTTAAAATTAATTACGGATAATCATTTTAATTTAGTTTGCTATTATTTATTTAAAAACAACTTACTAAGCAACACTATTAATATATACTTTTACAAATGAAAAATATTAATCTGATAAGCTGTCATTTTGATCTACACAGTATGAACTTACTACATCTGCCTGTCTGTTATGTTTATATTTACTATTTGATTTTATTATATTAATAACAGGATCCCATGACGATGGTAGTACCCAGTATTTTCAATAGGGAAGATGGCTGATGATGATAAATCAGTTAAAAATCACACATTCACATACCGGACAAGCTGTGCGTATGCGCGGGCCGCTTGGGCACGAGGCGCTTGCGGCGCTTGGGGCGGCGCGCGCGCGGCGCCCGCGGCGGCCGCGCCGGCGCCCACGCGCGCTTGCGCACCGCCTTCGGCTTGCTCTCGCGGCTCAGCATCTCGTAGTTGTCCTAACCACACCACGTCATATATATTCAGATATACGGCATGAATATGTTCATACATTTTATAAGTTTTATTGAATAAAATTATGTATTTGTTAAAATTTCATATTTTGAAGATTATATATTTATGCATTTATTAATATAATATGTCAAACTTTAAAATTGCGGTCCTATAAAAATGGCATTCATTTTCACTGATATATAACTTAGATATTACCAATCTTTTGCACAAAAGCTCTCTCACTTCTTTTTAAGTCGCTTAGAAAATACGGCACCTGTGAAATCTGTTTCTATCGCTCGCCATCTGCGTACAGACCTACATATACAATCTTGCATCTCCTTCACGCTCATACTAAAGAAATGGTGCATCTCTTTCATACACATACTAGAAAAATGTTACATCTCTTTCGCACACATACACTAAACAGACGCTGCATCTCTTTCACACAAACTGTTCGGTCCAAATGTTGTTACCGAAAACCTGAGTAAAATTATGATTAGTAGGTATGTTATATAGTCTATTTTTTCTTACATCTCCTAAATAGTAAACAAATATGGCGTACAGGTAACCAGAGATAATTCATAGAGATGTGAAATGGGAATGACGAATGAATGATTGAACTTAATGATTACTATGTAGTGAACGTAAAGTATTGGGTAGAAAAAATACGATAAGTTATTTTAATAATTCTGATTACTCGGATACCGATGATAATTCTCCAGGCTCGTCTAACACATATATTACATCAAACGTGGCAACGGAACGAATGATTCTTTCAATGGTGGCCGGGATAAACAACTGTCAAATTGTCATTTGTCTATTTTTTTATTTTTGCCCTTAATATAAACTCATTTTAAAATTTTAAACTAAAAAAGCAAATAAGCGCTCGGGAGATCTCCATCAGGAACGAAGGCCCTCAGTCCATTTTAATAAAGAGTGCAATAAGATACGAAATAATAATAATTACATAACAAATAAATAATAAGTATAAGTTGATTAAAAGCAATTAAAAATCTTCTGTATTCTACAGAAGATACAACTTTTTTAAAACCTAATAATAATTTGAAAAAAATGTCGTACTTTGTAATTTAAAGATATTGTTATTTTTTTAAAAGTTCAGTTCGAGAATGGATCGCGATAATTCATTCTAAATGTTCCATCTCTATGATTCAAAGACAAAGTAACGTATCGAAACGTCAAAAGGTTGTGTTCATATTTTATCTGTGGAAATTGATTCTGTTAATATTTTGACTTTAGCAAAAATAATGTTTAAATCATTAATTAACACCTTTTATTAGTGTAATTCATAGCGTGTGTGTTTCTGAAATAGTTATAAACGTTAAAACCAAATCTAAAATGTGTGATTGTCCTAATACAAATGATATTCGTTCAATGTAGTGTTTATTTACCATTTAGGACACGTAAGGAAAAATAGACTATAAATACATAGAATCACTCCTAAAAAGTCAGTGCATGTCATAGCAATAAGACCAGCTGCATTTATTATAATTAATTAGCATCAATTATCAGTATATCATCTTATTAAATTAAACTTTACAACGATCCCAGACTGAATTTAACTTAGCAAGCATTTAGTGGTAGGTCGCGCCCCCTACATTTTTTGGTCCTTCGAGCCGGATTTGAACCAGCGACCGACGATATGGGCTTACCCGTTTCCAAGCATGCTCAGCGCACAACGGCGTTTGATCCTGCAGCGGTAAAAGCGGCTGCTTGCAGCGTTCACCGCCCGCGAACACGGCGGCGCACGCCGCGTACAGCCGCTGCTCCGGCGCTAGAGTGACGTGGGACAGGCAGTAGCGGCCGCAGGGCAGCGGGGACTGCGTGCACCTCTCCTCTGCACAGGAGGCGATATCACTGCGATAACTCTCGCCGCCCGACCAGCCGCTCTCTCTGTGGAATGTAGATACTATTAAGGGCTGCCAGTATAATCAACTAATTTTATACCGTTGGGTCATTGAAATTATACAAAATCAATAACACTATTATATTATATATTATGTGTGATAATAATTTAAAATGGACAACGAAAAAAAAGGTCATTGCACAGTACCACCTATAAAATAAATTAATACATATACTTTTGTATCTACTTAAACAATTTAAGTTACTTTATGACACATTGACACCCGTTCAAAAATTCTATTATATCTAAAATCGATTTGTACGTTTTTTGTTATTCTATATATGATATTTATTGTTGTACCCAATGATGTATACGAAGCAATCTGCTATACACACTGGATACATAAGACAACCAAATTATACACTTTTTGTATCCAATTATATGATCTGGTACTGTTAGTTTAAAATATTACAATTTAAATATATTTTTTCTGAGTATGTTGAGGGTGATAAATAGCGAATATATTTATTTTATAATATTTGATTAGTACACTATATGGGCACAAATTATAATATAAAAACTATCTATCTAATATAATTGAAGAATATGTATTTTTGTTTTTTTGAGCGCTGTAAGCCGGAAGATTGCTAGTGTGATATGAAAAATCTTTAAAATCAAAATCAAACTTTGACCTTTAGAAAAGGAGGTATTATACTGAATATAAAGCAAAGGAAGCCGCAGACAAAAAAAAAGTCGAAAGATGTCTTAATAGACACCCGGTAGGAACGAAATTACTTTTGCTGTCTGCCCTTGTAGTGAAAGTATTGCCTCATGACAACATTTAACATGCAACACAACCTCCCTTGTAGCCTCACAAAAAAATAATTAAAACATGTCATAATAAAGATTATTAAAACTAAACAACTATTTGCAACAGACTAATATTACTATCTTTGTACAAAATTACACAATATCATTCAGGTGCTGTGAGAAAGAAAGACACACCAACATATAAATTTTCGCATTCATAACCTAACATATTACACATTAAATATTTTTTGGAAAATCTTATTGAAATATACATTATTATCGATACACAGGCCGAATCTTTATTTTTTAGAATTTTTGTCTGTCTGTCTGTTACCGCATCACAGAAAAACCACTGAATTTTGATGAAATTTAGTATGGTGATAGCTGGTTATCCGGGTCAACATATAGGATACTTTTTATTGCGGGAAAATGTCTTATTTCTGAGAAAATATACAAAAACTGCAATGTTATAATAATATATAAAACCTAAGTTTGGTTTTTGGTCATCTAAACGCGGGCGGAGCCGCTGGCAATGCTAGTATTAAATAAAGATTCCAATATATAAGTACCAAAACGTTATAACAAAAATGGCAGAAAATATCTTACCTCAGTCGCCTACGTTCGTGTATTGTCAAGACGGAAGTCATGCCTCGCATCGCGAGCAAGTGGTTAACTGTTTGTGTTGGAAGACGACATGATGAACTTTTTCCGCTTATTTGTTTCTACGAAAAGGAAAATACTATTCTATAATTACACACTTATTTATTTATATTTACACATAGTTAATAAATTAATTAAAACATAAAGCATTCGTCTAGCAACATCGGAAATTAATTAATCATATAAGTATAAGAGAGTTTATTTATAAAGAGATACGTCAAATAGTTTAATAAATGGAATGTTTTATGTATTTAATGTGTTTATTCATTAAAAAATAATTCTGAGCGTTAATTAAATTCCTTTAAGTACGTATTTCTCAATATATGTATTATTAATTACTATTCTGTCAAGTTCACTTCATAACGTTATTAATCATTTTTGGGTCAACTATCAATATAAATTGTAAAAATATAATTAGCTTCTAAAACTGTCTACAAAAAAACATTTATATTCCTATATTCAGCACTTTTTATCGTCCTACTGCTGGGCACGAACCTAATACGAGGGGGATCAGGGCACAGTCCACCACGCTGGCCAAGTGTGGGTTGGCGGACTTCACATGTCTTTCGAAAACTTGCTAGGTTCTCTCAGACATGCAGGCTTCCCCACGATGTTTTCCTTCACCGTAAGACAAGTGATAATCATATTGAAAAATAATTCGAACATGAAAATATCAGAGGTGCGCGACCAATCAATCATTGAAATACAACTATTAATATAGGAATTCAAAAAATACCATATTTACTCAAATAAAAAAAATAATCACATAAATCCAACATACCTTAATCAGGGTTGCCAACGCTCTATCCTCCTTGTGCCCCCTACTCAAATGCAGCGACGTGGCAGCCCTAGCTACTTGCCGTCTCATGGCCGCGCGACGCAACGCTAGCCGCGCCCCGCGGGATTCCGCCGCACTCTCCTCTACGCACACCGGCCCCGCACCCGATTCTAAAAGCACATTCTTACATAAATAACTCTTGTGATTATTATATTCAGCCCTTTTTAACGTCCCACTGCTGGACACGGGCTTCCCTTTAATATAAAGGGGATTAGGCTATAGTTCACTACGCTGGCCAAGTGAGGGTTGGCGGACTTAATATGTCTTTCGAAAACTTGCTAAGTTCTCTCAGACAAGCAGATTTTATCACGATGTTTTCCTTCACCGTAAGACAAATGGTAATCACGTTGAAAATGAATCGCACATGAAATACAAAATATCAGAGGTGCGAGACCCGTGACTTAAACCCACTTCACTCGGTTTCCCAAGCGATCGCATTACAATTGATACTGTTAAAAATGCGAATGTAATGCCTGAAGCGGCTGGACGGATTTGGATGATCTTTGTTTACAGATAAACTATGACGTGAAGTAACATATAAGCTATTGTTAGGCCACTAGGGACGCATCCTAACGAAGCAAGAGGAAATCGCTAATTATATAAATAACTTCGTAAATCTCAGGAATGAATTCTAGTTCACGTTTAATCGTTGTATCGTTTTGAACCTTTTTATAAGTCTATGTGACATTTAAAAAACAATAGATTCGTTTAAATTGTTTGTAAAAATGTGTTCAATATTAGAACATTTATTGTTTTTTACTTAATAATTTTGACACTATCGAGCTGATTTGATGATAAATCCAGGTGAATAGTGGAATTGTTGAATGGCTACTGGTTTTTAGTTTTTTAGAAGAACAATTAACCCTTTTCAAAATATCCAATTAAATATGAAACATATCAATTATTCAACATAGGCAGTATTTGAAAAGTGTAAACCGAAGTTTCTCTATATACCTATCATTTAAGGACATGACGAGAGATGATTCAAAAGATGAATTATGTTTTGCTCTGGGGGAATACCCGACCGCCGGTGGTAAGAACAATGTAGTTAAAAATTATTAAATATTGTTATAGAAAAAATATGATATACTCATTATTCTTTTTTTTTTCAAATTCATAAAAATCAGGATTAAAAAATACCATAAAAAATACAACTAAAAAAATTATTCCTAAATATTCTTACCTTTTTATTGTTATAAACTACTGTCAATAATGCAAATCCTTATTTACCGAATTCTGGCATAATATCATCATCACTACTGCTACTCTCAAGTTGTCGGAAGGCATTTGGTTTTTTATCATCTAGTGGGCCACATTGAAACATTTCTTCGCCCGGAGCGTGCCATGGTGCAATTGATAAAGGTAGGGCTCGTCGTTGTTGCGGTATCCGTTGTAAGGCCTCATGTACCGTCGGTCCTCGACCTTTCCGAGGTTTTGTTTGGGAGGATTTTGCTAAAATGTTACATAGCCATTTAATTAATTTAATCCTATATTCATGGAAATCAATCCTATAGCTATATTTTTATAAAAGATATTTTATTGGTTTGTGTTAATGCATGTAGAATTTTGCAATGTATTTTTATAAAAACATACATATTACACACTAGTGGCTCACCCTCGCTTCGCTCGGGTGTGTCTCTAGGTTCAATCCCCATACAACAATCCTTCATCCCCTTAAGGGATGATTTCCGGGATAAAAACCATCCTTTGTCTTTCCCAGGATCTCAAACTACCTTCTTACCAAATTTCATCTAAATCGGTTGAGTAGTTTCAGAGCCTATTCATTACAAACAAACAAACAAACAAAAAATCAAATCTTTCCTCTTTATAATATTAGTATAGATATCAAATGTTGAGGCCCATAGTCTAGTGTTGGTTTGTTAATTATAAAAAACTTGGTACTTAAATAAATCTAAATGTTGTAAAGTTGTGTATGTTACTTTATAGAAAAATTGTACATCATACATCAATGTTACAGTAGAATATAATAGTAATAAAATTAATTCAATGTTTAAATTTATTTATTTATTTCCTCTATGCTTGTTTAATTAAGGAAGTTAGACAAACACAATAATTTAAAATGCATAATTTGCTTAGTTATGCCCATAATGTAATATATAAAAGACATAAAATAAAGTTAATCATACTAATATTATAATTGTCAATGTTTGTGAGAATCGTCGGATGTTTGTTACTCTTTCATGCCAGAGGCTGAACGGATCTGAATGGCACAGAGATAGATTATAGCCTGGAATAGCATATATATAGGTTTTTTATCCTAGAAAAATGTATAATTCCATTGGGATAGATTTGGTTTTTGTTTTTCACCAGGGTAGGACCGGAAGAGATTGTGAGCCACTAGTATTAAATATTTTTAGAATTCTATACCTCAAAAGATAGAATGGAATCCTTATAAGAATTTTTTGTGGCTATCTATCAGTTTCACAATCTATTTCCTGTGAATCTACAATATGAAAGTTCAAAAATTGATACTTACATATTATATAGAATTTGATCATCCTATGGCAAGGTAAATAAATAAAGGTAAAGTGCAAAACTATATAAAAAAATATACATAAAGTACATCATGTAATATATCAAATCAATCATCTATCAAATGGTTTGTTTGAGAAATACAAATACACACTTTATGATTTCAAAATATGTAGGTAAAATGATAAAAAAGAATATATAAAAAAATTAAACACTGTGTCAGACACTGGCAGGAATAGATGTTGTGCATAGATTTTTGTAAAATACAAATACAGTTTCTTTAAAATATGACAAAATATGGAATTACATGAGTTGGGCTCTCCCTTCACCTTTGTTTCATTAGGTATTTATGGCATTTCAGTTTTTGTAAACAATATTTTTTTTTAATTAAAATATTATACATGTGAATTAAAATAGTTACCTGCAGGAGGTTTTTTTGGGGTAGGAGCTGGAGGTTTAATAGAAGTTACAGTTGCTATAGGTTCAGTTTTTATTGTTGTTGCAGCATTTTCTGTCAGACCTTGTTCTCTTTTAAATACATCCAAAAATGTTTCTGAATTAGACTTATTCCCTAATGTCGATTTATCATTATTAACATTTGGGTTACTTGCAGTAATAGTATTTTTAAGGCAGTTATTTGATAAATCAGTATTATTTTGACCTTTAGGGCTAGGAATGGTTGTGTAACGTGTGTCTATTGATTTAGATCCACTATTAACATTAGTCTTTGCTTTTTGAACTTTGGCATGTACGTTCGCTTCCATCTGATTTATAGGTACACTTGTTGATATTGATGCATAATGTCCATTTGTAACAATTTCCTTTTTCTCTGATTTAATGTCACCATTGCTAATGGGAGTTAATGTGTCCATTTCCTTGTTAGAATTATCTAAAACCCTTGTTTTGATGTCTATATTATCAGGGAACATAATATTATCTTCTGTATGACTAACAGTAATTTCGCCAGCAATAACATCAGAGTCATGAAATGTGTATAATTCATTAGGATCTATTTTAAATTTGGTATGGAAGAAGCTTTCACTAAGATGTGGCATGTAAGATTGTTCATCTCCAGAACTGTCATGGATAAACATGTTTACTTCACTACATCCCCCCGACACACTCTCAACTGCCATTTTATATTGAGTAGCACAACTCGCATCTGATATATTTTGGGTAATACCACTGAAACTAAAAAATAATACTTTTTAGGATGAATAATATATAGAAAAAGTACATTTTCAGAAAATTAACTTACCCCACATTTTCTGAAGCGCTCAAATAAGACATACTGTGTTCATTGTACCATCTAATTATACAAATAATTAGTATTGAGAAATACGATAATATTGGATTGGTCCCTCTGCTTCATACTGAAATATTTAATTTATTTAGTATGATTCTATACTATTAGTGGTTTTATTTTAAACAAAATACGTAATATTTTGCTTTTTTAAGCTATGACTTCCAAGCAATGACAATCATAATGACACCTGTCATAATCAGAAATTATTAATTACTTTCTTAATATTTTAGCACATTTGCCTTTATTTAGGTGTTTAAACATAAAGTTAAGTTTATTTGACAAGTGTACCGTTAAAGCACAAACACTGACTAATGTAAAAATATTTTTTTAGAATATTATGCAAAGTTCTCACATTTAAATCTATGCAATACACTAATCGATTCTGGTTTGTAAATTTGAATACTAGTCCTACACCATTAAAACTATTAACAAAATAAACTAATTTACTTATTTTTTTAGAAAAAATTATAGCTTTGTAACTCAAAACTTTTATTCAATAACATCAAATGATTGACAGATTAAAGCAAATGGTAGCCAAAACGCAGTTGCGTTCAGTAATTGTTAAATCCTTAGTAGTCTTAAGATAAAACTAATGTTAATAAAAAATATATAATAATATAATTATAAATTTGAATTAAAAGGATCATAATAATCTTCCTAAAATACATATAAACATTCCTGGTTGAATTTTGTAACATAAAATATGAAAAAAAAAGATTTATTACCAATGTACTCATTATTTTTTTTAATTTTACACGAAACCACTATTTGATTAAAAAAATGTTGGGAATTGTGATTATTGGCAAATATCATAAATACTGATTGATAAAAATCTGTTCTATTTTAATTCAAATAACAACTACAGCTCCATTCTAGTAAATAGTAAAAAATATTAGTGAGTAGAAGTTATCAATGATATTATGGTAGAATGACCGGTTTCCACAGACTAGATTGTGTCAAAATATTATTCTCAATTTTACTGTTAGTATTCATATGATCGATTTTTTAATGGCTGATCAAAATCATCTCGTTGTCTATTGGATAACTTGTTATTAAAGTGGTCACGTACAATATTTTACTAATTTATAGGTTTTAAAAAATATATCTAAAATTTTAACCAAGAACAATTAAATATATATGCCAACTTAATATAGATGAATAAATGTATCAATTTTGAGTATTTAGATATGATAAAACAAATATTAAAGCACAATATGTGAAAATTTCAAATGTGTAATAAAAATTATTTTAAATTTCCCGCCACTGTATTTTTGATTTGAGAACCCCTATATTCGAAGCGTTGTTGTGAATCCAATATGGCGTTATCTGATGTTTTAATATTTTGAAGGTACGTCAATTTGACGATTCTATAATGTGTAATCCGGTAAATATCTTGTTTTTAGAAAGTTTACTTCATGAAGACGTTAATTGAGTTTTAGTTTATGTATTTAATCATGTTTGTTTAGTGTAGTGAAAGGCTTACAGATTGTATTGTTTTGTTTGTGATTTCCGATCATTTAGCAAACCATTGTCATACAAAAAAAATATTTTCAATGATTAAAATTACCTTACTTATATACTGTTAGTGCCCAGGGCATTCTTGCGGTCCTTTTTTTATATTTTTATGTTTTGATGAAGACTTCGAAATTCACGTCTTGCAATTACAGTAATTATGTAGACTTTGGTGATTACTTCGTGATTTATTGTGTGCTAATAATAAAAAAATGTGTTGTTACAGAAGTGCATAAGTTTTAATACAAATGGGAGTTAAATAAATATATTAACCGGTGCCCAGGATTAGCGCCAGAATAATTGATTCATTATTTGAGTATATAGTAATAGTTGCGTTGACTATCATGACAGACACTAGACGAAGAGTCAAGCTTTACGCTCTGAACGCTGATCGACAGTGGGATGACAGAGGAACTGGACATGTTTCATCATGTTATGTAGAGAGATTAAAAGGGACCTCATTATTGGTAAGGGCCGAGTCGGACGGTACCCTTCTTTTGGAAAGCAAAATACAGCCTGACACAGCCTATCAGAAACAACAAGATACTTTGATTGTTTGGTCAGAGGGAGACAATTTTGATTTAGCATTAAGTTTTCAAGAAAAAGCTGGCTGCGATGAAATTTGGGAAAAAATTTGTCAGGTACAAACTTATATTTTATATATACATAAACATATAATTTTAATAAAAAACCGCAACATTCTAGTTAGAATATTTTCAAGCATATTCATACTTATTCTTGTTGACAACTTGTGTTTATTCTATGATATTTTATTGTATTATATCAATAAAAAAATACAATTAAGAATACTACTTATATAGGTTAGTTTACTAAGTTGACATTTAACCTCAACATTTTATTAATATTTAAGGTACAAGGCAAGGATCCTTCAGTTGAAATAACACAAGATATAGTTGAAGAGTCAGAGGATGAGAGGTTTGATGATATGTCTGATAGTGTTCAACCAGTAGAGCTACCGGCATGTGAAATGGGCAGATTGGAAGACATAAGTGAATTAATGAACAGTTGTTTGGTGTCACAAGCAAGAAAAGATAAATTAGCAGCAGCCTTAGACAGTCAACATTATATTAAGAAACTTCTAAACCTCTTCCATATGTGTGAAGATATTGAAAATATTGAGGGGTTGCATCATCTCTATGAGATATTTAAAAGTATATTTCTCCTCAATAAAAATACACTTTTCGATACAATGTTTGCAGATGATACTATTTTTGATGTAGTTGGCTGTTTAGAATATGATCCCAGTTTACCCCAACCAAAAAAACATAGAGAATACCTTAGAGAGCTAGCTAAATTCCGAGAGGCCATTCCTATAAAAAATAAAGATCTATTGGCAAAAATACATCAAACATACAGAGTACAATATATTCAAGACATTGTTTTACCCACACCCACAGTTTTTGAGGATAATCTGCTAAGCACATTGTCCAGTTTTATATTTTTTAATAAGGTAGAAATAGTGAAACTCATAGAAGAGGATGATAAATTCCTAACAGATTTATTTAAGTTACTTATGGATGATAAGACACCTGATGGTAAACGGCGAGACCTAGTTTTATTTTTAAAAGAGTTTTGTAATTTTTCACAAAATTTACAGCCACAAGATAAAGATACTTTTTATAAGACATTAGTATCATTGGGTATCCTGCCAGCTTTAGAAATAACACTAAGTATAGATGATCAGAAGACTAAGACTGCATCTATAGATATTTTAACATACATTGTTGAATTCTCATCCTCTGTTGTGAGGGATTACACTTTACAACAATCCAATAATACTGAAGAGGTAAGTGCTTTTTATAAATATTACTATTTACTCTGTTCATAATTAAGACTAAAACTTGGATGCCATTTTATAATTTTAATTTACATTTCCTATCTGATAACTTATTGTTAGTGTAAAAATAGCCTATCCCATTCTCCATCTCAAACAAATCTATGTATAAATCATGTCAATCTATTGTTTTATTTTTTCTTGGGAAAGATGACAAACTCTTTCATATTTAGAATTATAATACTGAGGATAATTAGTTTAATAATAATATTTTTTTGCTAAACATGACATTTTTGAAATATTTATTCTATATTACAAAAGTACATCCCATTTCTTTTTAAGGTTTTGATTCTTAGGATATTGGGTTATTAAAAGAATGCTAACATAAGTAATATTTAAAAAAAGTGCCCACTACATACTGTGTAAAAGAAAATATTTATTTAAGGAGAGGCCTACACTAGCAATATGTAATATTACTTTTTAATGTATGTAATTGCTTGCTTATAAACATTTCATTCATAAATGCTACCAGCTACTCGCTCTTGCTTCGCTTGGGTTTGTCCCTAGTGAAAAACAAAAACAAATATATCCCACGGGAACCGCACATTTTTCCGGGATAAAAGTACACGACTATAATATATCTCTGTGCCAATTTTCATCCAGATCCGTTCTGTCATTCTGATGTGATTGAGTAAAAAATATCCATCCTAACTTTTGTATTTATAATATTACTGGTATAAGTAGACGACAGCTCTATTCAAGTAATAAATTTATACCATTGTCATATAATTTCAGGAACAAATGTTATTAAACATAGTAATAGAACAGATGTTAAGGGATCAAGATCCGGAATTGGGTGGTGCAGTACAGCTTATGGGAGTCTTACGCATACTCCTTGACCCTGAAAGCATGCTTGCATCTGTCAATAAAAGTGAAAAGGCAGACTTTCTAAATTTTTTTTACAAGCACAGTATACAGACACTTATAGGTATGTATTTACTAGATATTATAATGTTTAATTGAGGCAGTAAAAAGAGTAGGTCTCTTTTAGGCTTTAGTTATATATTTTTTTTATATTTTGAAATTTAAGCCTAAATATATAAATTACTAGCATTTCCCGCGGCTCCGCACTCGTGTAGATGTGTAGATGACCAAAAACAAAATTCTTAGATTTTACATATTAGTATGCTCTTACATTGCAGTTTTTGTATTTTTTCTCAGAAATGAGACGTTTTCCCACGGTAAAAAGTATCCTATATGTTGACCCGGATAACCAGCTATCACCACACCAAATTTCATCAAAATCCCTCCAGTGGTTTTTCTGTGATGCGGTAACAGACAGACAGACAAAAATTCTAAAAACTATAGATTCGGCCTCTATATTGATAATAATGTTTATTTCAATAAGATTTTCCAAAAAATATTTAATTTACAAATTCGGCTTAGTTACAATTTTATTATTTGTATAGATTGATAAAACTACAAAATCATAAATGTTATACACAAAACTTAATTTATTGTTATTAATAATTTATTAATTGATATTAAATTCATGTCTTAATTGATAAGTAGATGGAAAGAAAATAAATTTGAACTTATTTTCATTTCAATATAGGTTTTTTCAGAACAGCTATTAGATGTCCAAGATGTCCAAGATGCCCCCTAAAATTTTATATCGATAGTTAAATTATAATTAATTAATTATTTTATTAATGAACTTGATAAAATAAAGCAAAAATATGAATATTTGACGACACCTTTGGCTCAGTTTGTAGTGACCCTACTTGCTATGCCAGCGGTCGCGGGTTCGAGTCCCGCTAGGGGCATTCATTTGTGTGATGAGCACAAATATTTGTATACCAGTCATGGGTGTTTATATTTATATTATGTATATTGTATATATTTAAATGTATATATGTGTAGTGTATCAACTGTCCAGTATCCATGGCATAATCATAGTAAAGGTCCCTATCCCTAGCTACAAACTACATACAAATATTGATTTTGGTTGGTTTTGAATTCTATCTTCTACTATTGCCAGGATCCGACACACACTGCACATGCTGTGTGGCTTATTTTGTGGAAATTGCAGTGATTTAAGCTCCATATGACAAATATTAAATTGGTGTTATATATTTACTTAGATTATGTTAAAAGTAAATATTTAATATTAAGATTTGGCAGTAAAATTTGTTTTATATTAATTACATAAAGCTAGTGTAAAATATATTTATTTGCGACCTCTAAACTGTATAATAAAAAAAGCGTGTTACAAAGTATCTCATATCTCAAAATGTCCGCACCAATTCAATTTTAGTTGAAAGGTTTTTTAGTTCTATTTTTTTTTTATATTATTTGTCGAGTGATAAGAAATCGCCTAGTGAGTGCAATGTCATACTGATACATATGCAGAGGAATCTAAACGGTGTGTTACGCCGTGCGCGTAGTAAGCAATTCAAATAACATAAAAACATCTTCAAAACATTCTATTTGGCCACAAAAAGTCGCCACGGGAAAAAGTTGTATAAGCACTTGGTACCTAAGATTTTAACCCTTTGTTTACCTGGTGAACAAGTCTTTTAATTTACCTCATGGCATACATAAGACCCCTTGTAAACATATATATTTAAAATGATTTATTAATATTTTTAAGCAATTTTTCTCACTCAGGTGTCACCACTTTATTTGTTTTTCTGATCATACCTTTAATCAGCAAGTTTTGTTATATAAAAACAAAAAAAACTATTTTTTTTATATTTGTCTACATGGATGACCAGCACTAATTGAGTACTAAATTAATACTAGATTGCTAGCTTTATTAAAAGCTAGCAGTTTTCTAATTTTCTGCCAATCTATAAAAGCAGCAAATTTTAGTTTTTAGCAGTAAATTAACACTGAATGAGCACTAATTTTTGCACTTATTTTTAAGCAATTTTGCTGATTTTGCCATGCTAGCTTAACATACGTTATATAAGCGGCGTAGCCACACGACCTCATATGTTCCGCGTGCAGCAACTCCCGTAATGAAGTTACTGAGACGCACTAAATTAAAATCGTGCTATTTAACTTTATACGTGAAAGTCCATTAGACCTATCAAATAAACATAAAGGTTAGGTGAATATGCAATATGCACTAAAAGTAGGCACGATATAGAATAAACGATTGCATAATATGCAGTCTGTAGCTATTATATATGTCTACTCACATTTGTATTCTTAAACTTCACAATCCTTAGGCTGTGCAATGCTTACAATCTACCCAATTATGAAAAGTTTCTAGGTCGAATAGTTTGAGTTATGTTTCCTCATTGATATACATACACACACATATATATATATATATATATATATATATATATATATATATATATATATATTGATTATTATCACTTTCCAAAAGGTAATTTAAGTCACACCTTTACTTGGTTAATTCATGAATCAAGAATGGCTAATGTATATTATGTTATTCATATTAGAAATATAAAATCTGAATTAAATTATGTAGAATAATACTTGTTCTATGGAAGTACTTAGTTTTATAGAAGGTTTAAGTGCAACTTATTATGATATGACAAATAATAATCTTAAACTAATAATGTATGAGGAATGTATATATATATAATGTATGAGGAATGTATATATATATAATGTATGAGGAATAATAAATAAATGAGGCAACAATTTTTTCATTTTTATATTATTGAATACTGAATTAATAATTTACATTGTTTTTATGAAATATATTTGTGTTTTGGTATTGTTTAGACATTTCTTTTTAATACAAAAACAAATCTTTCTCACGGGAACTGTAAATTTTTCCGGGATAAAAAGTAGCTTATGTGTTATTACAGACTAATATTTTCCAAAAAGCCAAATTTCATCCAGATCCGTTCAGCCGTTCTGGCTTGATTGAGTAACAAACATCCAAACATCTAAACTTTCACATTTATAATATTAGTAGTAAGATCTAAGTAAGATTATAAAGTTGTGGTTGCAAATGGTTTTGTTCATTTTTTTATGTAAAAAAATATTTTAGTTTTACTACCTATCTCCTTTACTATCATAGAATACATGTTTAATATAAGACACTACAACACATATTTTTCTCCATCAATTTCAGCTCCATTACTTGCAAATACAACAGGAGAGAAGCCATTAAAAGAAGACTATCACACAGTGCAGCTATTGGGTCTAGTGCTTGAACTACTTTCCTTCTGTGTTGAACATCATACATACCATATCAAAACCTGCATATTAAATAAGGTAAGTTTTTCAAATGTATTGTCAGTTACAGTTTAGTCTTTCCGCTGAGTAGTGGAAAATAAGTCATATATAATTTAAATAAATGGGAGTTTTTATAATTATTCATATCATTGATAATAATATATGTACATATTAAGAAACTGTGAAGGAAATGAAATACAAATGATGTTAAAGGAAAAGTGTCCATATTAAAGTATTGTATGATGTACATAATATAAAAATGCAATAATGTATTTATTATGTAAGTTATTGACAAATAATATATAAAACTAGTATATTAATTAATATTTATATATAATTTTATTGTCATATCATTTACCAAGGTTGCCTATTACTTGTTACGGATTTAAATAAATGCAAATAGAAGATGAAGTTGTTAGTCTTGTATTTTATTGCTTACATATTTAGTAGGTCAAGTTGACCAGGTAGTGTTTTAAAATTATATTTTTCTGTTTGTATTCTGTAATACTTTTGTTCAAAGTTGTTTAATATATTCTTGTTTTTGATCAAGAATTTTTTTTCTTTCTTTTTTTATATCTACAAAAAAGTAGATACTATTTGTGTGTAACACATCATTTATAATAAGCAGGTTAAATATTTTAAGGTTACATGTAAATTTCAATAAAAATTCCATCCCAAGTGGTAAATTAATGAATGATAAAAAGTTTTAAAATAATTTTTAAGTCTGTACTTTTTTAGTTGTTGTTATATTATATAATTATATATATCACAAGCTATCATTGTGCTTTTACTCTCATATGTATTTTTATTTACTTAACACCTCCGGGTAAATTTCTAAGAAATTAATTTAAATTCTAAGAAATCTATTGAAACTGACACGCCGGCGTGTCCGCGGTCGTGAAGGGATTAACCTAAAACATACAAGACTGCTCGCTATATATGCGAGTTGTTAGCATATAATACAAGCGGATAAATCCGCATCTTGAAGTCTTAATTATTTATTTGAAGTATAATTAAAATTAAATATTTAAAACCTTTCTACCTGATGTTCTTATCAAACAGCCAGGCAAAAAAGTTTAAAATGGGGGAATTTGGTTTGTTCACTTTATTTAATACTACATACATTCTATAAAATATTCACTATACAACATTGACCCTGTTACGATTTTATTATATGACGTATATATGTGATATGACGACCGATTACCTTCTGCTGTTGTTGCTGCGGTACGCGTCAGTTTGATGTTGCTCACTAAGTAAAAGATCAAAAGTTTGATTCACTGAAAATTTTCTTACTTTGTAATTAATTTAATGTTCATAAAACATTAGAAAGTAACTGCAGGATAAATATGTATTAAGAACTTGTGTCAACATATACACAATTGGTACTTTTTTACCGACTTTAAAAAAGGAGTTTGCACACAAATGTTTTTTTTTTATTCTGTGATTGATCGTCAGTTCTTAACCAATTTTTTAATGAATATTAAATTAAATAGCAAAACCCTAAATGGTGAAACATTTTATTCATATTTAAATTTAAAGATTTGAGTGTATTTACTTTAAAAAAGTCACTGAAATTAAATTACCAATTAAATTATTCGTAATTCGACCGTAGATTATATTAACTTTTACTTATTACATTTGGTAAATTTTCCAGGACCTCCTCCGTCGCATACTGGTTCTTATGAGATCCACGCACACGTTCCTAGTTCTTGGTGCGCTCAGGTTTATGAGGAAAATAATAGCGCTCAAAGACGAATATTACAACCGTTATATGATCAAGGGAAATCTCTTTGCACCAGTTATAGATGCTTTCCTTAGAAATAATGGCAGGTCAGTGGCTGTATTGATTTTTTTTTAAATCGCTATGTATACCTATATTTTATGGTACTTTTGATATGACTACCAAAATATTATATTTAAGAGCATGCTGTGGTATCCTATAATACGAAACGTTTTTATGTTTATACTAGCGACTTAGCCTTCGTTTCTCGTTCTCTCGTTAGTTTTGGTTCTATTTATATTTCTATTTGATTGAGCATTGGAATGGTATGTAGTCTATGTAATAGCCAATATATTTAAATGAGAATGATAAGTATACAAGATATAAAATGGCTTTTTATTCTTTTATCTGTCAATATCAAAGCAATCATATTGCAGACACAATATATTTTATGTATAGACATACTTCCCTTACAGATGTCTGTTAAATGAAAAGTAATTTTAAAATTTAGATATGTAATCTTCTTTATAAAAAAAATTTAGTGCGTGTAACCTTTACGCGCGGTTGAAGTAAAACTTGTGTTATGGCAGTTACTGCAATTAAAATAAAACAAATCAAAATATTGTTATAATATTTTTTATAAGATAATTTGTAATAAATATTCATTTTTATATTATACGTAATAATTATAAAAAATAGAATTATGTATATATATATTTTTTAAATTATTAATAATTTTAACTCACTTCCGCAACACTCATTTTTCTAATGTATTCACTTACCCCTCAGTCACGCCTGAAGAAGTACTTCAAAAACATATTGTATATGACAAATGCTTGTAATTAACTTTTGGCATTAGAATGAACTGATGAATATCAATGTTTTAAATTTGAATAAATTATATAACATTCCAGGTATAACTTATTAGATTCTGCTATATTAGAGTTATTTGAGTTTATTAAATTGGAAGATATCAAAACACTTTGTACTCATATTGTGGAAAACTATGGAAAGATCTTAGAGGATGTTGAATATGTACAAACGTTTAAGGCCTTAAAAACGCGCTATGATCAACACCAGGACAAACTGAAGGAAAGGGATAGAGGTAAGGATGACCTTATTCATATGATCTTTAATATTATCAAGTTTTGTATGGTATTTGTTTTCTTTTATTTATAGTAATGATAACGAAATACTATGTTTATCGCGTAGTTAGAGCTGTAAATAATGAAAATTGTTATTTTAAGACATTAAGCAACATAATAATAATAATGCTTCAAACTTATTAATTTAATTGATATTTAAGACAAATGTTTCTATTAAAGGAATATTTAGTAATATATATAAATAGTTAATAATAGTTAGTAATATATAAATAGTTAATTTATTATGATCATATTCGCGGTTTAGTAATGACCGGACATTTTCTGCGGAGGTCGCAGGTTCTATTACTGCACAGGCTGAGTGTATATATTGACCATACAGATGTTTGCATCAGCCTGAATGTATTATTGTGTCTTGTTTGTTTGTTTTATGAGAAAGATAGTGTAAAGTTAATTGAAACAATTTTAATTTTGACTATCAAAGTGTAATATTACTGAAGATAACATTGCGTAATTAGGTTAGTTAGTTAACAATGATGCCAATGATAAAATAATCCATTTTATATGTCAAAAACATCTAAATGAACATTGAAAAAACCTAATAAACATTAAAGCTTGAGTATTTGTTGAGACCTTGACATTTTCAAGAGCCTTTCATATTTACACACGCCTGTTAGTTACGTAATTTTGTTATGCAATAGGTTTGTTTGTGTAAACATGCAATGATAAGATTAAGATATTATGTACTTTATCGATAAGTAGATGACCTTAATAGAAGATTACCTTAGAAACTTATTAGTTATTTACTCATAAAAAATACAATTTGTTAAGTATTCATTCTAGTGTATTTATTATAATTCGTACATAAAAATTATGTATCTCTTTATAGTTTCTGATTTCTGGAACGAATGAGGTAATTTTAATAGGTTTTTAGGTAATCACTAGCGATATACCTTTGCTTTGCTCGGGTGCGTCTTTAGGTGCTAACAGTAAACTATAACATTTATAATAAACAATAAACAATACAAACTTTAACATTTATAATAAAGACTATGCACACATACAAACATATTTGTAACTAGCGATTCACCCTCGCTCCGCTCGACTTCGTCCTTACTTACGTTTTAACGTTTAGTATAAATTTCTCAGAGATGAGATATTTTTCCGCAGTAAAAAATATCCTATATGTTGACCCGGATTACCAGCTATCATCATGTCAAATTTCATTAAAATCCCTCCAGTGGTTTTTCCCGTGATGCGGTCACAGACAGACGGACAAAAATTCTAAATTCTATAGATTCGGCCTCTGTATCGATAATAATAATGTCTATTTCAAGGGGGTTTTTCAAATAATATTTAATGTACAGATTGGGCTTAGTTACAATTTTATTGTATGTATAGGTAACAGTCCAATTAACTGCCTAGGTTAAAACAAAATGTCTTTTTTTTGCCATAATTAGTATAGTTATTCAATAAGTCAAGACAATAAATTAAAGTATTAGTATATTTTTTTTTATATTCTAAGTGTTGTTTTGCCTTTTCATATATCTTTTGATTGTCGTTATCACTGTGTCGTAATATAATATTAATACCTACTATTCTGTTTTGTTTTCTGTGAATGTCATAAAGGGCCGTTCATTACGTAAGCAATTTTTCAAGCATTTTTTTCTTACATATAATTTTTAATATGCCTCCGATCCCTATGTCAGGAAAAGTAAGATAATATTCGACCTCCCCCACCTCCTTAGCCTGCTACCTAATGAGTTCGTCGTTAGTAATATATACGTAATTACTATGATGATCATCGTCACGCATCGTTTAGCACTTTGTTTGTGATCTAATAAATAATTACCACACATTTATTTCAGGCAATATTTACAAAAAGATGTTAAATATGTAAACAGAGGCCCATAACATATATACTTTAAAAATTAACATATTTATATACAAACTATGTTATGCACATTCCAGTGAGCGGCAGCGTGACCGTGGCGGAGGCGGTCGTCCCGTCGCTCCTGCGCACGCGCTACCGCCGCGAGGCGCGCCAGCCCGACGACGAGGAGGAGATGTGGTTCAACGACGACGACGAGCTCGAGGACGACGCGCCGCTGGACGCCGCGCAGCCGCACGCGCACGCGCACCCGTTGCCGCACCCGCACCACGCGCTCGATGCCATCGGTAATGTTTATTTATTTATTTAACATATACATATAATAAAATATACAATACACATATAATAAAATTACAAAAAAACCTCTAAAAGGGTAGTTTTATACGAATTTTCACCCGCTGTTTTATTCTCTTATAGGATGAATGTGGAAAAATGCTAAAACACGTATTTATTTAATTTTATTGAAGAGCATTAATACCAAGTTTCAAGTAATTCTGATCATAAATATTTTTTTTATTTGCATTATAACGTGTTTTCCCGTGGGAATTAGACACTCTTCCGAATTGTATAAAAATTAGCCTATGTCACTCTCCAGTCCTCCAACTATCTCCACACAAAAAATCACACCAATCCGCCGAGCCGTTTCGACGTGAAAGAAAGACAAATAAACAAACAAACACGTTTATAATATTAGTATGGATTACTAACACCAACAAGATATACATTAACAAAAACACAGAATTATAGCATGCTCACAAGGAGTCTAAATGTTATCTTAATTATAGGTGTTACACACATTGCAAAGAAACACGTATACAAATAATGGAGAACAATAGGTACATGCAATAAAAAAATACACCAGACAAAACAACAAAAATAAATAAATTTGAGTTAAAACATAATTCATTAAAATATTAAAAGTATAATTAAAATTATAAAAAAAATTACCTCAACTTACTGTTCGAATTTTGTGAATTCTTTTAAAGTTTCAGAGATTCAGATTCTATTCAAATAAATTAAGCTAAAGGAAGTGTAATTCGTATTATTAAAATTATATTTATACTATATTTTTTTAACAATTATTGTTTGGAAATAATTGTTTTAACTACTCTTTCCAGGTAAAATAGTAGAGAAGAAGGTGTGTTCGAGCGCGGAGACCGTGAACGGTCCCAGTCGAGTGTTGCTGAGCGCTGCCAAGCCGCCGCACACCGACGTTCAGGTATCCACGACCAGATTACTCAATAAGGTAACTGTTAGTTCACTCATGCTATTGCTTCCATGGGTACACGGGAATCGACTTTATATATGCATTGTATTGTTTTTCGTTACGATAAGCCATTATGGAATAAGTGTAAGAAATAACCGTCATATTAAATTTTGCTTACATCAGCCATTTTTAAGAAGTATGGTGTAAATGTTCTAATTTTGTATTTATGGTGGGTTTTGGTGCTGGTTTTTGATGAATATAAATGATTGTTAGTACTAATCTTGTCAGTTTAAGAAATGCATGCTTTTATAAATCTAGCTCGATGCCATCGGTAATGTTTATTTATTTATTTATATCTTTTTAAGTACTTGAAAAATTTCTATTTTTTTATCTTTTAACCATAACAATGTATAAGCATTTTAAATAAAACTATCTTTTCGGATTTTTTCGCGAATTTATTTTGATTTTTGGTTCCCGACATTTTGAATGCTTTACAGCAATCATGGTCACGGGAGAGATCTCCCGTCAGTCTCTTATTTAAAATGTCAAGTATTCGCGTAAATCTAAGAAAGTATAATGTATAAGCACCTAGCCTTTTTGAAAAATAATAATAATTTAAAACATATAATATGATATTTAAGGACAATTATTGATATATTGATTATATATATAACAGGGTCTCGTCGACTACGATGGCGATTCGGATGAGGAGGAGGAAGGTGGCAGTAGCAGCGCCACCGCGGAAGAGCCCGACGCCAAGCGGCCGCGCATCGCGTAGTGCCAGCACCTATTGCTGTTTCAAGGAATATAACAGTCTCGCTCTACTGTGCCCCGTCGTGCCCCCGCCGTGCCCCCACTGTGGCCCCAAGACCGCGCCCTGAGGTACACCCGCAGGTACCACCGGCGACTGTGAACCGTCTATTTGTTTAATCTCCGCCAGATTGGTTATTTATTGGTATTGGTAACACGTTTGCTGAGAGTATTACCGGAAATTAAAAGCGGTCAAATTTTCTTTTCTTTTGTAATTTGTAAATATATTCCTCGGTTGTTACGTGAGCGTATTTTAATTGGTTGTTGAAAATTCAATATGGTTTCCGATGTTTTTGAAGAAATTTGTGATTTTTATTTCGTTCGTTATTTAAATCTATGCTAATAATGTTTTGCTGTTGTGTTAACAATGGATGTTTTAGTGCTTCACATTTGAATGCGCTTACGTAATACACGAACGCTCCTAAAACCAATGTCACAACATGATTGAATTAAATAATTTCGCCACAATCTAAGGCATTTTTAGGACTCGAGTAGTGCGATAACGAGACCGGCTAAATGAGCAGTTGGAACGGTTTACATACAATTTGGTCCACATTGTAAATACGAGTGACGTGTCACTTAAACTAGAGTATGTATGGGTTACGTAGTGTAATTGTATTTTCGGACGGTATCGAAGTACGAAGTAGAACAAATCGGTTATATATGTAAAATGTGAAATTTTAACGGTTAGCTTATGTTTCTGAATTAACAAAGTACAAAGGTTATATGAGTGGGGTTTAAATTTTTTATGAAAAAAGAAACATTATGTATATGTATTTAATAGTCACAACGACCAGACCAATGTAAACTTAATATTTGTGGAATTGCTACTGAGCGTGTTTTATCAGTTTGATTCAGATCATATCAGGCTGTCAGCGCAATATGGCCTCAACCATATTTTTGTAATCGTCACAAAATTACTAAGTTTTACATATCCATTGTTATTTTTTTCTATATAAAGCCATTTAAAATGTTAACAGCTGCAATTAATTTTATATTTTTTTCACATATAATTTTTTCTTAATAATTTTAATGAGGTTATGCCACTTTTGCGCTAACAGTCTTGCATACGAACTTCGCCATTGTAATTTTGCACAATAATTTAATTGCATTCCTTTGTTCCGAGTTGAGCTCCTGAAGATTTATATCTTAAGATTAGTGCGTGAACTGAGAATCATTTTACAAAAGCTGAGAAAGATATAAAACAATATGAAATATGAACTTGTTTAATTAGCTTTCTCATATATGTATCTCATTAACAAATTATTAATTTGACAGTTATATTTTGATTATTTTTTAATTTACGGTTGCATCAAGCTTTTTTTATTTAGTGGAAGCTGTTTTTTTTTAAAATGATTTTCGTTTCACTTCGTCGTCGTATCATTGAACTGGTAACTTTATTTTAGAAACGATTGAAATATGTGTTTCATTGAATGATGCAAAGGTTATATTGTTATGAAGAATGTTTATTATTTATTTGAATTTTTAACTACTATTTTTAAATAAATAATAATATTTTTAAAACACATTTGTCATTGAGTAAAAAATAGTTTATTTTATTTGATTTTTAGGTGACTAAATAGAGTTAGCAGATTAATGTACGTATTTACGATTTTATTTATTATATTCAATGTTATTTTTTTATTCAATTTTATTTTATTTAATTAAATCTTTAGGAAACTCAACTGGTATAGAAACCATCTATTTTTTTTCTCTTTTGGTGGTCATATGGCATGTTTATTTGGATCTCTAAGACATCATAATAAATAAACATATTAAAATGTTTCTTTGTGATATCAAAATAATCAACATAAAGTAACAAAGTAGCAATTATTTATATCCTATATTATGTATTATGTGGATGTATATTTATTATGTCCTGAGATAGTAAAGGAATTCCCACGACATACAGGATTGAAGCAATAGCTTGATCGGTTTTACCATGGCTCACAATTATCACCGCAGTAAACATCTCTAAAATATTATGATTTCTTCAAGTCATCTTAAAAATTGAGTTTAACATATAAGAAAAACATTATTTTTTTTTGAAATATATTTTTATATTCTGCAGCAAAACGTAATAAATGCAGATATTAAAGTTATCTCTCTTCATTCAATTTAATATTCTCACTGAAATTCAACATGTTTCATAAATAATTCTAAATTTTTATATATTATAAAATATCTAATCATCTATTATCTATTATGATTGAAATAAAGATTCTTGTTTGAAAAAAAAAGAGTATCCCATACTCGAATGAGTTGTCGAATATTAAATATAATTGTTAGGATTTATTTGTAAGATAAAGTTATACATAACTCTTGAGATCCAAATATTCGTGTTGTTCATTGAATATCGATAATTAAAAATCGATTGATTTTTATTGTACCAAACAATGTTTTTGTTCTATAACATCGTGTTACCGACAGATGGATGTGAACGATAATATTTTATTTTACAATTGCTGTAATAAACATTTCATATTTATATTATTATTTAAAAATGTAAAATATTTTTTTTGCTAAACATTCTAGCACTAATGTCGGTACCACGTCGTTCCTATATCTTCCAACACTATTAAAATTCTCAGTCTTTGCTTTGTTCTACGCGCTTTTTTATTATTAAATAATGTGTATGTGATAAAAATTATCTGATTAAGAACCGTTTTATTTTTATTACACTTAAATTATAGTTTAATAATTACTATGTAAATAACATTAGGTTTTATATAGTATTCGTGTCGGCGATCGATTTTGTCGTTTTGCTATTGTGTTAGAATAAAGTCCTAAACTTAAAAGTTAGGGCGTTTGCAAATAGATATATTATTCAAAGATATAATAATATAAAGAAATGCGAGAGTGCGTTATTATAAGTTACTGGTTTTTGATTTGACAGCTACATACAAGTTAATACCTAAGTATAGCCTCAGATATTTATAATAAGGGTGTGTTTAAATTATATAAGAAAAGCTCTGAGCTTTATAGTATTGTATATCTGAACTAGTAGTTCAGTCAATAATTTGAAGAGGTTTTTGTCTTTTTCACGAAATTGAAGTTTTCAATGTTACAAACATGTTTTTTTTGTTTCAAAGCGACAACTTTTCAGTATTTAAAATGTGATTAGTTTCAGTTTTTGATTATTTTTATTGACTAAGTAAAAAAAAAGATCATTTATTTGTCATTAAAATTGTGTGGCACTGACATTATAGCAACAATCGAATTGAAAATAGATCGCCGTTTATTTATGTAATATAATAATTAATCTGATCCCAGAAGGCCACTTTGGTCTAAAAGACGTTACGCACACAAGTTCTCTCTCAGAGAAACTAACTAATAAGTGACTAAAATTGCTTAGTACATCGTGCGATGACAACCATTCTTCCTCATAATCTTCCTTATTTTTAAACTGTACGTATTGGAATAATTTAACGTGGATTTGATTGGAGCAGGTTATTTTAGTTGCGGACCTTACTTGTTTCTTCTTATTACTCTGCGAAACGCATTTACCGTGATTCTTTTAAGTTCTTTTAGTATTAGAAGTAATAGTGCTAATATTGGAATTAATTGCGTTGAAACACTGAAAATTATTTATTATTACTTCTAATGCTAAGGGCACAAAGTCTGGTGACTGACATAAGTGTTATGAATCGCGACGAATCGTCGTCAGAGCACAACAATATTATTATTTTATGCAATTTGCTCGTAACACGTCTAGAATGAATGTAAAAACCTACAAATTATTGAATGCATGTTTAGAAATCATAATTTATTTGGTGTGTAATTTTTTGTAATATACGTGATATTTTTTTGTGTGATTATTTATCGGCTATTATACGTGGAAAGATCTAACCGGTACAACTGTATGTAAATTTGTTTTTTTTTAAGATGCATGCATATACATATCAATTTTATATATCTGACAAAATAATATTGATCTCTAATTCCCAATATTGCAAAGTTATCTTTCGATTGTTTGAACTACCGAAGTGGATATTTGGTCTTACTACTATAGAGCTGTCGGATTTCTATCTTAAGTAGTTCCTACAATGCAAAGGTACATTATTATTGGTTGTGTATTGATAAAGATAATAATTCTTTGATAACTTCATACCAATCACTAGGACGATGGTCACTGAATATTTGAACAGGTAACACTAGACAATTTTTTATACGAGAAAAGTAAATATGTAATTCGTACCGTGTTGCAATTTGGACATTTTTATACGCTGTAAAATAAGATTGTTAGTTGTTACACTTGAAAATAATACGATAAATATTTATACGTGACAAGAATAGTGGTTCCTGTGCAAATATTTTGCTATTTTTATTATTATTTTTTATAATGTTGATAGATTTTTTTTTGTCGACATGTTAAAATAGGCGTTCGTGTCACATGCACAGATATTGCGAGACTAAAAATTTATTACATACGTGGAATGGGTGTGTCAGAAAATTGTAAATAGACGTTTTATGTAATACTTTATTTTGAATTCTGTCAAACATCCACGTGTCTAATAGCATCTAGCTGTCAATTAGATTTATATGATTCTTATATTCCTTGAAATAACTTCCCGTACTAAAAGAAAGGATTTCTAGATGAAAGTAGACTGTAACAACTATTTTTTATCTGTCTAGGTGGATGACCATCAAACTAATTTATACACAGAATAAAATTAAATAGATTTACCTATTGGCAAGTTGTGTAAAATAAATAAGCTTATAATGCTATTATTATGATGTCACTAGTTACGTAAGCAATATAAATATAAGGAAATACAATGCGATATTTAGTGTCTATTTTATTTTATATTACATTCCCATTTAAATTACAAAAGTAAGGATTTTATATAAAAAGTTCATATTATATGAATAAATTTACCTAAAATTAATAAAATAAAGGTCTTATTACTAAGCATGTTTGAGATAATTATTAGTAAGAGAATTTTGTTTATTGAATTGTTTTAAAGAAAATTGGAAACCTTAAGATATATTAATGTTTATTATATTGTGTTTAACAAACATCATAATATACAAATAACAAAGGATGATTACATAAATAAAACACAAATCAGCTGACAGTTTTTAATTACAATTCAAATATTAAATTATTTCAGTATTGCCATAAGAAAAAAAATAGTGGAAAATAGCCTACATTTATCATTAAATATAATTTACAAATTAATGTTTAATATCAACTACTTCGGTTTTTAACTTAGAAGCGAGAGCTCTTCGTAGTTGAATTGCGTCGGGGGGAGGCGCGAGTGTTGTGCCCGCGAGTGCAGCTTGAGCTATACGCGCTGATCTCGGCCTTGACGTTTGAGAACCTTTTGTAATAAAAAACAAATATTTAATATTAGTAGATGAAAAAATAAACTGCAAAATATATTCATTTTAAATAAGACTGTCTTTTCGGATTATTTCGCGGATTTATTTTGACTTTTGGTTCCCGACGTTTCGAATGCTTTACAGCAATCATGGTCACGGGAGAGACTGCAAATATTAATTCGTTTATTTTTCGCTGAGCATGAATTCAAGTCGATTTTACTTTATAATGTTACTCTAGAAAATAAAAAATATTATAGGTACATTTAGGTCAATTTTTCCATTTTTAATTTTTATTAGGACAGGACTAATTTAATCAAAATATTAAACGGGTTAAAAAAGTTACTGTAGTACCACAGTATAAATATTCATAGAGTAGGTGAACTCCTTTGGTTTATATTACCGGAAATTTCGCTAAGTGCAAAGGTTTTTTAAAATTCCAATTTACATAGCAAACTAAACTCGTCAACTCTAAAAGCGTTTCCCAATTATCGTATAAAAAATACGGACATCGGGGGCGGTTCTACCGCGTCTCGGCCCAAATAATTGTCCTGTCTAGACACCTTCGTAAGACGAATGTATGGACTATTAGAAATGTCAACTGCTTTTCTTACTTCGTGAAATAGCCATATTGGGCTTATGTAATTATCGCCAAAAGTATGTATGTACCTGTAGATTCATCATCATTTTGTGCAGCACCTAGACGTTTCTCGCGTACCTGCTTCTTTAGACTTAGCAATTTATCGCGTTGTTGTTTTAAATATTCTTGTCGAGCACGAATTTCTTCATCGCTTACCTAAAAAAAACATATTATTTTCGCTTAATTTATTGTAGTGCAAGGGCAGTTTCGTCCGTCGAGTAGATTATTTTTTTTTAAAACTCTACCTCTAATTTTTTCACCACTACTGGTATTTCTTCTTTTACTATCTTTTCCTTTTTAATATCTACAATTTCTTCTTTTTTATCAATTTGTTGTAGCTTTGATATCAAAGTTTGTTTCTCCGCCACTACTTCTTCTGGGGGTACTTTAACTATTTCGTTCTTTTCATCGATGTCTTCTAATTGTAACCTATTGAAAGTGTATATAAAATATCGGAATTTTACATTCTTTCAAACAACTAGTTTTTGAAAAATAATTTCACATTTAGAACGAAACAAAAAATATTACTTCTTTATTTCAGTCATTACATCATCGCAATCTGGCCAATCTGAATCTCCATCACTAGGCGTCGAGTTTAGATCATCAGGTTCCGAAGAAAAGATATTAGGCATTGTCCCAAATCGCTTCTCAATGAGCTCCAATGCCTATTAAAATTAGATGAAGTATAACATAAATGAATTTAAATAATTTGATTGAAAAAATGCTCGATTTATTAGTATATCAAAGTAAAACTCTTTGTATGTTAATATTAGACTAAAATGAATGTTTTATAAAAAAACTGGTAAATTATTTTTTACTGTAAAAGGTACACCAACCTTGAAATAATTTAAAAATAATTATTATACAGCCTTAAAGGTGAATTTTCATTGAATTTTATATTATGGGATATATTATACAATCTTGATGCAATTAAGAATAATTGATTTATAAATGGTGAAGATAACGCGTAACATACACCGAAAAATTCAGCTGAAATGTGTACCTCTACTTTGAAGTCATTCAAAAATAATTCATGAGGACTAAATTGATATATGCGCATGCGCAGTTTACTTTTAACCTACCTGTAATTGTAATTCAACATTTTTATGTGTCATCATTTTAACGAACATTTCGTAGTCGTTAGCAGCCCAAATTTGTTCAAAGAGACGTTTATGGAAATACGCGGGTAGTCCAGCTAGATCTTGTGCTGAGAGACGGCACGCTGCTTCAAATTGATCGGCCGTTATGCCGATATCTTCCATAAAGGAACCCAGCATTACGTCCACCTAATTACATATGTATATTTTAGTGTTATTATGTTTTATATTATTTACTAATATTAAAAAACTTAGGTTTGTATGTATTTTTTAATGCCGAATCATAACATTTTTTTTGGGGTGGACCACCCTTATCACTTAGGGGTATGGAAAATAGATAGTAGCCGATTCTCAGACCTACTGAATACGCATATAAAATTTGGTAAAAATCGGTAAAGCCGTTTCGGAGGAGTACGGTAACTAACATTGTGACATGGAAATTTTATAGATAAGATACGTAGGTAAATAATGTAAATTTTAGTCCAATTGAACATTTATTTTTGTCAATAATCTTACTGCGTTTATTGCTTTCGGTTGATAATAAATGTTCTTAAAGGATAATGCTAGCGCATTTTTTCATTTATTAACATTTTTAAAATAAAATAAACATTCGCCCTCAAGGTCGTACCTGAAATGTCCACAACCTAGAGTGGACTTCGGTAGTACCTTGAAAAACATTTTTTTTAATTTTAGTCTACATTCTAGTCGTAAATATATAATTTACGTATTAGTGGCGATAATAATATAAGTATTCAAATACGATATATTAAAATACGACTCAATGTCGATTTTTAGAAAATACATCACATGTCTCTGACCCGAAGAAAAAAAAATTGATCAAAAAATTATCAAAATTTAAATTTTTATTAACGTACATGTATTTATATTAATATTTAAATTATGATTAAAGAGCCACGTACCAAGTTACGGTACTCTTCATGTATCTTTTTGTATTCTGGTCGTTCAAGTACTTCTCCATCATCAGTAGGTTCAAAAGCTGTAAGTGGTTTATTTAGTTTATAAAGTGAAGTAGGTAGTTGTAAGTAAATCTGAATCAATGACGTCAAGACTGAAGCATGTATTTTATAAAAATACGCTAATGACATAAAATAAATCAATAGTAAGGCATCATAAAATATTTTCAAACAAAAAGAAATGTATCAGAAGAATATTAAACACTCACGAAGTGATTTTTCTTCGATAAATGTTTGTAAAGGTATATTCCATACTGGACCATGTAAAAAGCCCACAAGAGAATCGAATACCCACGCATTATTTTCTAAGTTATCCATGGTAGAGTGCACAACCTAATACTACAAACACCTTGCTGTTAACTAAATTGTACAAGGCAGTTAACACAATTACCTTGACATTAGGCTTTTATTTGTATTCTTGTTGCTATGGTTACCTTCAGTTTTTGCTTTTACTGCAGTTTTGTGGTAGCTTTTATTATAACTAAAATGAGTAAGTATAAATTACTCGAATATTTCTCTTGAATATATGTATATCAATGATAATTTATTTTTCTCATAGGTATTATGCATACTACATCTTATAAATCTATACATATAATAAAATTCTAACAGAGTCAAATCTGTACATTAAATATTTTTTGGAAAATCTTATTGAGTCATTATTAATTATCGATCCAAAAGCCGAAACTATAGTTTTTAGTATTTTTATTTGTCTGTCTGTGGAAAGCATCACGAGAAAACCACTGGAAAGATTTAGATGAAATTTGATATGATAATAGCTGGTTATCCGGATATATAGGATACTTTTACTGCGGGAAAATATCTCATCCCTGAGAAATCTATACTAAACTAAAGTATGCAATTATTTATCATTGGACTAAATTGGACATAAGCAAATAAGCAATATATTTCTATAATATTAATTTTCAAATAAAAATGTAACTGTATACAAAAGATGCTTTTGTCTACAAAATAAAGTGATTCAATGGGTTATATTAAACATAATGAAGTATTTACCAAATACATAAATATTTTATTTCGTAATCAATATGGGGAAGACTTTTGCCTTGTTCTCCCGCCAGATGTCCCCATTTGTAAATAAGAGCACTTACACACTTATAAAATATTTCTTATCTCCTGATTAATCAATACATTACTAAATAATAAGTAATGAAATAATATGAATTTTCTGGAAAGGAGGGCGCTATATGTATGATCTATTTACATTCAGTCTGAGGTTAAGCAATTTATTATGATATCTCTTTTGTACCTGGTTTGTGCTTCTTTTGTGTTCGCATTTGACCTGTGCAATATTATATAGTACCTGGAAGTTAGACCAGATGAAGGAAAAATTGAGAAGGTGAGGTGCATATTGAGTTGGTCCTGGCTAACTGATGGATCATCACACAGCCTAAGCTGCTGGTCGTAGAAACGTAAAAGTTGAAGCACGTACTTCTTGTATAATGTAGGCCGCTGATAAAAAAGTTTTTCGAAATTCATCCCCTAAGTGGGTACAATAGGGGATTAAAGATTGTATTAAACTCCGTCATTCTTAATGTGAAATACACGGGAAGTCGTGTTTAGCTTTAAGATAAAAAATAAGAAATATATTTCTTTGATTTTTTTTGAAATTCATGCTTTAAATAGGTAAAAAGGGGTAATAAGTTTATATGGGTAAAGAATTATTTATGATCAGAATTACTTGAAACTTGTTAATAATGTTCTTCAATACAATTAAATATATACATGTTTTAGCATTTTTCGAAATTAAATTCCACATGGTGGTAACGTGGGGGATGAAGTTTGGTATGAAACTATAAATAATAATATCTAAAAAAGAACAAAAAATAAAAAATAATATTCACCTGTAGACAATTTAAGACTGTTAAAATCTTTTTCTGTAAAATGATGTCCACATAGCCATAAATATAAAGATTATGATTTCGCCAATTTTGATTGTCTTATTGCTTTAGCCAACAAATTTTTCAGTTTTTGTCTTTTGGGGACAAATGATATCCATTTTCTTTGCATCCTGGTCACTGAACAATTTGTCATTTTAGTTAAATTTTAAATACAATGAAAAAAACCTCATCCTCACTTTAAAGCTTTACAATATACTGAGGATTATAATGATCGCGACACCTGGCGGAAGAAAAAGAGAAAATTCTTACCTTTAATATTACGATATTTTTGGTTTGTAACTAGCAACATTTGGTTTCTTGACTTTGACAGCGATTGTTGATTTTATAAACCATGGATGACAAATAAAAAACTTTCAACAAGATCGAAACAATAATGTTGTTTTTTTAGAATTCCATTCAATCATGATATAAATTTTATTCGAAATGACTAATAATCATAAAATTATAAATTACGAGAATATAAATGGTGTAAATTTAATGTTAAAAGTAGATAATCGTACTAATTCTCCAAATTCACAACGATTTACTGTATCTTATAAAAATAAGGAAAAAACGTCGGCATGGCCAATAAAATCATTGTTTTTAGCTGTAATATTTAATGTATTAGCGTTTTGCTATGTACGTATAAGTATGCAGGCAATATTAGTCATATTTATAGTCATATCTTTTCTGGTATTCTTTTGGATTACTCACACAGTTCAGTCAGGTTAGCGACAATAATATATTATGCAAAAAAATATAAATATACATAGTTAAATGAAAATAGATAGGTACATTTTCTACTTCTTTTAATTTACAGAAAGTCTACTAGTCATTCCAACTGTGGGTATACAAAGTTCAGTAAAATATGTTTGTGGAAGAGAAGATTATTTTGTACCATGGTCGAGTATAGATGATGTTATTATAAATGAAGTTATAAAATTGGTAAGTCTTCCTTTCTGAATATTTTTCTCCTCCATCCTTAACATTTTCACAATGACACAAAATATTTCAAATAAAATTTTGGAAAATTGAGAGTTAGTTTTTTGCATATTTTTCCAGAATCGAGTTCTATATTTTCTCACTTTGATAGTTAAAACTGGAAACTCTGCAAGTCAAGATACAGAGTCTTTTAAATTAATACCATTGTTTAAGGTAAGTGAAAATTTTGTCTTGTTAAAAAATATTAATACAAAATAATTATGATACAAAAGATTGTGGTTACATGTTATGACATTGTTGTTACAATGACTTGTAAAATTGTAATTAATAAAACAATACATATGATATTTTTTATTATTAATGTAAATATGCATTTTTTTATTTCAGTATACCAAGCCTCGGCTATTGATGCTAGAGACTATATATTCTGAATTGCAAGCTTTATTGACAGTATCTACAAAAGAAGACACAGAAATAGGCGCTGGAGACAAAAAACAGTTGTAATTGTATCCAATTTTTATGGTTTTATGGGATACTATTATTATTTACTAATTAGTATTAACTAGATGTATATTTTTTAAACTTAGAACAAAGAATGTGAAAAGAGTATTAAGAAATAAGTTACTCTCTGTGGTATTGCTTACTTGCAGTATACCATACTTGCAGTATAGTATATTGTGATATCCAGAACATGATGTATATCTGTATCATACAAATCAAAACATTACATGGCTTACACATGGAGAAGTTACAATCATATAAGCATACAAACTATATTAATATTACTTTGCTTTAACTCTAATTCTTTCAAAATTGATGAAAATTAGTTAGATTTAATAAAACTACTTCTCATATCTTTGGCAGATTTATTTAGATTTTTTGTTCCTGGCGTTTCAAATGCTTTACAGCAATCATGGTCATGGGAGAGAAGTGGTCCCGTGACCATGTTTGTAGTAAGATTAGTTTAATTGCATATTATAGTGTAAATGCAAGAACTTTTTTAAAGTGTGTATTATATGACATTTTCACAAATTATAAACCATTGTAATTTAATAATTCTTATTTTATTGAATGGGTAATTAATATATGTATATCTGGCCTTATTGAATGTGAGAAAAACTTGTTTTGCTGACAGCAAATAAATGGAAGTCTATAAGTGAAATTAGTATGTTTATATATCTTGCATTTGGGAAGCCTTTGTCGATGCTGGTGAGATAGGTTCATATAGAAAAGAATCATTAAATGTTGTACCGAAAAAGTTTCTTTGGAAATAATAGTATAGTTCTTCTTCTTCATCAGTCACAGCTTTTTTCCGCACTTTGGCATCTTTGCCCGTTGTGCGTGAGCTGGTGCTGCTGTGTGTGTTATTCTTTCCACCGCAGAGCGTCCCAGTAGTCTAGCAGGCTGCTGGTGTCCTGTAACATTTCTGGGTTCGATTTTTTGTGAGCTGGTGTTACATTGTTGGAGACACGCTCTGAAGAGGGCGCTGTCCGTGTGACCTATGTTAAAAAGATGTTTATGGAGTTGGCAGCGTCCTGTTATCAGTTCCACCACCGTTTTTAGTTTGGCTCTATCTAGGCGTGTTAGTTTCATTGTTAATTGTTTATTTAGTTTGGGGAAGGCTTCTTTCGATTGACGGCAATTTGTATTAGCCTTCCATAATGTGTCAACTGTATTGTTAGTGAAGTCTTGTAACCATGTTTTGTGTTCGCAGTGTGGGATTGGGGTTAGAGGTGTAGACCCTTGAACTTTTAGTCTAGAGGCCTGTTTGGCTAGGTTGTCGGCAGTAGAATTGCCTTTTGTAGTAGTTGATATAGGAGCATCCCAGGACGATCTCTTTTTGAAACATCATAATGTATCAGCTGCCAAGAGCTGCCGGCATATGTGTAACGGTTTTGGCTCATTAGGATTTTATGTAAGAAGTCTGCGTCCTCTGGGTAATCGGGTACGTACAAAGCGGCTTTGACTTTGGCCTTAGCTAACGCTATTCAATGAGGGTAAGGCAGAAGCCCTCGGGTCCTTAAACGTCGAACGATTCCTTTCAGTCAGGCCAGTGTTTCATCGTCCCTGCACTTCAGCTTCATCACTCCTTCATGTAGGGTGGTGCGGCCCAGGAATATGGGACCGAATGGTATGTTGGAGCGTATGCCCTTTTGGTTACCTGCTACTGTGAAAATGGCCTTCTGTAGCTGGTCTTTTATGTCTATTGCTTCTTTCTCTGTGAGGTCTGTCCGAGGATTGGTGGTGATAGCCACGTTCAGGTGAGTTAAAATCGCCTGTGCATAGCTGCCCTCACCATCCCTCCTTGTGTGGGTTGTGCGGGGACGTTTTGATGACACCTTCGGTGAGATGGTGTCGTCGTGTCTGTCCCTCTTGTTAGGTTTGTTTTTCTGGCCCCCCTCCGAGGTTTCCCCATCGCCTGTGCCGCTGTTTAGGCGTGGCCGACTAGACAGCAGCTGGCGTTGGGCTTGCTTGGTTGGGGCCTTATGTGTTTGTATGGTTTTAGTAGTTTTGGGGGGAACCCGGGCGCCAGAGAAGCTTTTTCCGCTTGAGCTCAACGGGCGGGCTGTTTCCAGGGCCGATTGGCCGCTGGGATCGCCCTTGTAACCCGGAGCTGCGCGTACTCCAGCATCTTTGGTCGCTTTCGGGCCCCCCACCGTTTTGTGGTGTGGGAGAGGTTAGTTGTGCGCCCTCCCCCCGTTGAGCACCCGCCGGTACCGCTGCGAGAGGAGCCCGCGGGTCCCGTGCTGGGTTTTACCGGCGTAGCTTGCCCGGTGTGGGCTTTGCTGTGCTTTGGTGTCCGCCAGTCGGTTTCCGGTACCTCCAGGAGCAGCAGCTGACGTGTCCCCATCGGTGGTGTACCGCTCACTTTCCTCTGTGTCGGATTCGCTGTTGCCAGTTCCCCCTGTGATTTGTTTATCTGTGGTCCTAGACCTGCGTTGTCTTTCCCTCCTTTACCTGTTTTTCTTCTTCCTCGGTTCTACGAGGCTCCAGGAAGTCGAGGGAGCTGGTGGTTGAGGCATTGCTGCGAACAAAGCGGTCATGTTAATGGAAGCGGGGTTGTCCGCTTCCTTGTTGTTGGTAGTGTTGGTTTTTGTTGTTTTGGGTTGGATAAAGTCCGTTTTAAATAGATTTTTTAAAATAATGGAATAGGTACCTTGATTTGCTACCAAAAGGAATTTCTTTAATAGCCAGTAAGTAAACGATCTGAGGAGGATATTTTAATTCTTGAATAATTTTCTATTTAGGTTTCAATAAAACAATACTACAATTTGAAGCTGTCGACGTAAAATACTTTAGCTTACTTTCTAGAGATTATTATCTCGTGATCGAATTTTAGCCACGATGGTTAATCGTACATATGGTACAATTTAAGGACACATGATACTATAATAGTGCATAAGAGAGTGCGCAAAAACAAAATGCATTTTCTATTCCATTGCTGTCATTAGTCCAGAGCGAGATAAAGAGAGACAGGTGTACGTGCTCTGACTAGATATTGGGTGTAAGCATTATTTCTATCGTATCAACTCTCCTGCAACTGAGATTTTTTTAACAGGAAAACTTAGTGACACTAGTATATATATATATATGTACCTATAACATATATTTTACGGCACATAACTAAATAAATATATTTTGTCGTTTTGGCCAGCTAATAGACTAGTCTCTTAAAGTAGACTGATTATTACCTATTTCTTGTGATTTTATTTAAATGGCTCTAATTTTTTATTTAAAATGTAAAATGTTGAAAATAAATTAACACTTAATAACGTTAAATTGTATTTTTAATTTATACCCATTTTAATTGATATACCTATATCCACTTCTTTAATTTTTCTACTAAACTAAAACGTATTAGAAGTGAATAATAAAGTAAGTAATTGATTGATGTGAGTACCTACAGCGTCCATTGCGTCCATTCGCTTTAAACGGTTACTTTTTACCATACTACTTTCTATATAGTGACATATTAAATGACATTTTAAATAATTGACTTTTCGGATTTTCCGCGGATTTATTTGATTTTTGGTTCCCGGCGTTTCTAATGCTTTACAGCAATCATGGTCATTGATCACGGTAGAGATAGGTTTTAGAGGTCTTAAAGGTCAATATATAAACAGACAGCTGTCTGAAATCTGAATAGATAGATAGAATTGGCTGCTAAAAAAACGAGATTTTTAGCTCTAATGCGTTAGGAGTGTAAAATAAAATATTTTTTTAAAATGTAGGTATATTCTGAACTTTTAGTTTCACTCACAAAAGATTATAATTTAATGAAATGATTACTTAATTTTAGTTATGAAAATTATACTTACATCAAATGAATACCATTGACGACGTATACTAGAGAAAAATGAAATTAAAAAAGGGATTTATTATTGTATTAATTAAATATATGAATAATTATTTTTAACAGTCACGTTTTACTAAAAACATGATTATTACACCATTCCATGATATTAATTATAATAAATGAGGAGAAAAATTATGTTTTTGTAAGAATTATTCCCCTTTTTTAACCATGGCCACCCTAACTAAACCTTCCCATGGACTCGAGCCTGGTTCTCCCAATACAAAGCGATATACCTCTCTAATCTCACTACTATATAGTCTTACTAGCTATAGTTACTTTAGCAAATTGTTGCCTAGTAAAACAGTAGTCGAATACGCTTTCAATTTGTTCTCCCCTTGTATTTCGATCCAGAACAATTCCAAAAACGGGTGTGACTTGCAAAACTCGCTTCATTGGTTTTACCTAACAAGCGTAGACTGTGCGTTGCAGCGCAAATTGATACATCGTTTGTTCATTGCCGGTAATTACGCGTTGCGATACGTTAATTAAAATGTCTATTTTCGAAGAAGTTAGGAAGGAGGTAAATCATTATATTGTTCAAGTTAAAGTAAATCATTTAAGGCAAGTTTTGGTAGATGTTACGTAATGATATTATTTCTCCTAGAATAGATTTATGAAAATAGAATATTAGAAATGTAAAGATATTAAGTTTTAATATGTTCTTGTTGCTAGTAATATCGTCTACCCAGTTAATAAATACCGAGGGTTTCGGTAAATCCGGTAATCGGTAAAATTCCGGTAAACACTAATGCTTGAATGTATCGAGCATTAAATTTGTGTGTTATTGGGGTTTTCCCCGCGGCTGTATCTTTATTATTATCTATTTTACTGTAAAATTTCATCATAATTCGTTCAGTAGTTTTTGCGTGAAATAGTAGCAAACTTATATCCATAATCTAATAAATGAAAATTAACACAATTTGTCGGTCGCTAAGCTAAAAGTGGGTAACCACACCACACCATACATAACACCAAAAAATATGTCCCTTGGCTAGGTTACTCAAAAAAATAAATTTTAGGATGAATGTGAAGAATGTCGTTGAGCTTTACAAGTGTAAGTAGTCTATCCGACTGGCACTGTTGGATCGGGGGTTCAGTTAGGGTCGCAGTTATAGTGCGGGGTGATTTTTTGTATTGGTTATACCTTCCGTCTAAAACAAAGAGTGGCATGGAGAAATACTAAAAAATAATAAAGGTTGCATAATATTTTCTCCGCCTATCTCTCATGGTAAAAGGGTACTAAGAATTCCCCATAAAATTTAAAAGAATTAAACTGTAATATGAGCATTTTTAAATTACGAAATATTCAAATTTCAACTTCCATCTTACATTTCCTGTAATGATGATTAGCGCAAAGCGCCGTCACTTTGGAGCGAATGCGAACTAATTGACGACGTGCAGTTGCCTCCCGCAATACACCGTCGAATGATTTCAATTACCTAATTAGATTCGGGCGGATCTAGCAGCGAGATGTACGTTGATTGCGTAAATCGTTAACGTTTCATGGCTTGCTTAAACTGAATTTAAAATGACTGCACTTAAAGCATTTTAAAATTTCATGAATAATCAGTACCTATCTACTTGTAAAATGATTTAAAAACCTTGTGTGATATTGTATCAGTAAACTATAAATTTTGTTTGTATTTAACGTATTGAGATTAGGTAACTTATCTTTTACGTGTGGGTCTGTTCGTTTTCATAAATTGCTTATCTTTCAAATTGAGATTGAATAGGTGACATGTCGGTATATTTATGGCTTAAAAAGATATTTGCTTCTCCGTCTACTATATTTTATTAGGATTATGGATGATTTTGAAAGACAAAATCTCCATAGTTAATTCTATTCTATCAAAAATTGCATCAATCTCATGTGCTATCGGTACAATGATCCAGACAGTAAAATCGTAGTCAGGTATTCAATATTCAATTTGAAGTTGATTATTTTTAAACTGCAACATAAAAGTCGAAAATTTATTTCATAACTCAAATAGAACAGATGAAGAACAATTTGTTTAAATATTTTATAGCGGTTTACATTTTTCAAGAAATATCGTACATTCTGAAATATTTTTATAATTTTATCACTTTTCTGAGTGAGAACTTTTCTGAATGAGACGACCGGATGGTGAGATGAAGATGTATTTTATACCGTTAAAAGTAGCGTGTACTATTCGTCAAATGTTAATCTAATATATTTAAACGAGCAATTCTTGTATATATATGAAAAAGTTGACAAGGACTTTTTTATAGGATTTTAAACGTACTACAAATTTGCCATTTAACATTTTTCTGTTACTCTTACAGTTTAGCTTAAAAAATGCAAAAAACCAAACAAATTGAACTTTAATGGTATATAACAAATAAAATATTGAAAATAGAAATTCGACTCAATGGAACTTTTTGTAGTAAATTTAATAGTAAAAACGGTCCATTCGTTCATTTTTTTGAAAAATATTTTCGTCATAGTTTGCAGGACAAAAAAGTGTTAAAAATCATATTTTCCATACAATTTGTATGGGAAATCTTAAAGTTCGATGGAGAACCTCTTAGATTTAGAATTTTGAGCTCCACTTTTAACAGGAGCTTTGTTGAGACATTTTCTAAGATATTTTGGGGTGAGAGCGAAGAAAAACAAATATCGTCCGTTTTTTGGCACACCCTAATACGAGTATATATATATTGAAGAATAGAAGATATAATAACAGCTTCAGCCGTCGTATCCCTATTTTGTAGGAGCAGTTTTACTTAATATATACCTACTAATAAAACTACCTACTTCCTATGAATTTATTCTATGTGTAGATTATAGATTAAAGGCCAAATATGTATATTGACCTAATTCTGCTTAGTATGAAGCATGTCGTTTATATAGGTTCGATAGATATTGGCGTTAAAAGGATATTGTGGACTTTCCACTAAGTACACATTATGTTCTCGAAAGGAAAGTGCTTTAGAATGAAGTATAATTATATCTGTAATATGAAAGCAAAGGTACCTAAAATATAAACATATCTTTCTATCTCCATTTACTTACTGAAAACTGTTGAATAAGAATTAGTATCTTTTGAATCTCATCAGCTTTAAAGTCTATAAAGTTTAAAAATAAGAAAGTGGTTATTATTGTGGTGGCTTAACGTTTAATATTTTAATATAAGTTTTACTGTCTGACATAACCTCGCATAAGTTCACCTTGTACACTTCACCTTTACAAGATCAAAGCTGGATCGAGTGGGGAGGGTCGAGACGAGTTCATGATACTACTGTACTTATATTTAAAGAAGCTTAGCTAATAGAAACTTGAATAAATTTGTACATTTTTGCGAATTTGTTTGCAAATCACTGGATTTACAGAGAATAATATATTATTAAACTAGCGTTGCTCGCGGGTCCGCTCACATATTTTATTAATGTTATAGGTATAATATGTGTGTTTCATTTCTAAGGTTCGTAGCGCGAATACACCTTCCTCAATAACGCTACGAAATGCAAAAACAATTTTTCATAGAATAATCGTTCCCAGTGCCGGATTCAACCTTAGTGCCGCCTCTGGAAATTATAAGTGATGCTGCCCCATTATAGACATTTTGCATAAAATGGATAAAGTTTTGATAAAGTTCAATTTTTTTAATTATTAATTTTTGAAAAATGCAAGGAAATAATTTGTAATTTTTTTTAATTTCTCGAAAA